TTCATTTCAAATAGGCTATCATCTGCTTCTTGCATTTAACATAAATACTTGGCAATTCTCCTCTGGGTTTGAAGTATTAATTTGAGAGTTATTACCAAAAGCTGTTTAGATGATATTCTATTTTGGCTAATATCTCAGATCATACGATTTAAATATCAATTTTACACCATTAGTTGTTCAAATTTATACCACACATGTAAATTGGCTGAAAGGAGACATATTAACCACAACCTAACTTTCTTTTCACGGGTTGCGCACCTAATGGTCTCCTAGATGCTTTGGATCTGCGGTCAAAGACCACCCGTCTGAATTCTGCTGTTTAAGGTCGCTGGAAGCTGCTAAGGAATGAGAGTTGTCTTTTGCGTTACAGAGTGAAATATCTTACTAGCACACTTCCCTCTATACACTTGTGCTTCAGTCTCAATGGATAATTTGCAAGAAATCCTTAAAAAGAAAAAAAACTAAATTTTCTTATCAAAGAGAACTGCTTTTATTTCATCTCTCTATCCATGCCCACCTTCCCCCTTCAAAATCTCCTGATCTCAGGTATCAGGAATGGCGAGCCTTCAAATTCTAGGCTTCAGGTCTTACTATATTTGCCCCACTCTTGAGCATTGCTCCTATGTCTTGGTCTCTGGTAGCCTGGATGACCACTAATGGGAATTAGTTCTCTCCTTTAAGAAGCAGAAGCATTTGTCTGCTTACTAGCATTCTAATTATTGTCCACACTATTGCCCCCAAGACATTTCAAATGTATACTATAAGATATTTTTGCGTAGTGTGTTTGGTTTAGGCCTCAGCTACCTACTATGATGGATAGGGTTGAGGGACATGAGGGCACAGGTGTTGATTGATGAAGGTGTTTGACATATAATTGAGATAGGGGCTAGTTTTGTCATGCCAAAGAGGTAGGCGAGGAGTGTGCTAATTGTTCCTTGGGTGACTTCTGGAATTCAAGTGAACAGGCTATTCTAAGTTTTACCAGCGGAGCAGTTGTTCTATGCTGATATGAAGTTGGTTGGCGGTATTTGTTATTATTCAATCTACACAATATTAAAAAATTGTTTGAGGGTAATTGCTATTATAAAATTATGGATACGGTGGATTATTAGGGAAATACTTAGTGGCAGCTTCTGTGGGCAGAGTTTTGTTTTTGATTCAAAATTGGAATGACTAATATAATTTTATTTTCCCAGGCCTGCTCAGGCAAGAAATCAGTGTGAGCTCAATGTGTAGTGAGTGTGCCTGTGATTATTGTGGGTGTGGAGTAGTGGGTTGGAAACAGGGGGTTAATTAGGCTGGGAAGGTGGTAACAACATTTTCCAGGAATATCTTGAGCCCGATAATAGCTATTCTTCAAACCTTCACTGGATGAAAGATTGTGTTGAGTAGCACGGAGAAGTTTGGATTCTCAGGAGTAGGTTCAATGCCTGCAATCCCAGAAATAAGAGGGTTGGGGCCTCTATCATTTCCTCTATCAAATAACTCTTTTGTCAGACATATTTCTAGGTTTGAGGAATGCTGGAAAATTGTAATAGGGTGTTAGGATGTTTCATGAAAATACAAATAATTGAAGAAGTTTTTCATAGTGATCAAGTTGATCGTAAGCGGAATCGAAGTATGTTTATCAGTTCTGACCAAGAAGTTCAGAGGAGGCGTTTTGGTGAGTGAAGCATGTTTGAATTCTGGCGAGTGGGTGGGGTAGAATCATGCCTGAAAAGATTGTGGTTATTGCAGGGGCATTATAATAATGTTTATGTATTCGGCTAAAGAGAATAGGGCGATGGACCTGCAGCATAACACCTCATTCTTTAAGCCTGATGCTAGTTCTGATTCGCCTTCTATGAGGTCGAAGGGTTCGGTTTCATCTGCTGGTGTGGGAGGTGAATCATGTATGGCTGAGTCACGATAGCGAGAGGAGTCAGATATGCTTTTGTGTTGTAATGAGCATGTTAAGGTTAAATGAGCCACTTGTTAATGAGACTGATAGCAGGATAATGACGAGGTAACTGTGTAGAAATTGTTTTTCCCGAGCAATAGCTCATGGGCTCCAATTAGGCATATGGTTTGAGTTTGATGCCAGCTCCGATCATAGGATGAGTGGACAGTTGGAAGGCTGGATATGGCTAGGATGAACAAGAGTCCTAGGTTGGGGAAATTGATTAGAGGTTAGGTGGGAAGGGGTTCATAGGAGGGGAGGCATGGAAAGCTGGGGCGGGTGCGATGGTGTAGAAGTAGTGGTGGATGTTGAGGTTTTAGAGGCTCTTTGGTGAAAGAGTTTTATTGCATCAGCGAAGGTTGCTAATCAAGTGTAAGATTTACAATATTGAGTCCTTGCATGGTGTGTATATCCGCCTAACAATTTTCGTTCAAGTGTGGATACTATGGCGGTTAGTGTAAGGTACAACAAGGAGTATAGGTTTACCATAGTCATGAGTGTTTAGAAGAGGAGTTGAACCTCTGATTTTAAATTTTAAATTTTATGCAATTGCCAGGCTCTGCCATCTGTTTAAACTATTCTTACAGTTGGGATTTGTAATGTTTGTTAAATTAAGATTAGATCGATCATTTATGGGGGCGCTATTGTGAAGTAAACTATTTCTCTTGTCACTTTCTTTGAGAAATGTTGAATAATGAAGCCGATATGATTGCTCCGGTCTGAACTCCAGATCACGTAGGACACAATCGTTGGGAACAAGCAGACCACTGTTAGCTGCTGCAGTGGATGTCTGAGTCAACATCGAGGTGTAAACTCTATTGTTGATATGGACTCCTAGAATAGAATTGCGCTGTTATCCTGGGGTAACTTGTTCCGTTGATCAAGTTATTGGGTCAATTGCAAGTATGGTTGCTTTGGCTTGTATGATCTTAGCATGGATTGTTCGGAGGTTTGACTGTGCTCCGAGGTCACCCCAACCAAGAATTACCATTACAGCACTGGGTTTAAAGACCTGCCATGATTTGTGTGGTTTTTAGTTGTACTAGTAAATTGAAGCTCACCAGAAGATATTCTCATCTGTAATTCATCCGTCTCTTCACGGACAGATCATTCCTGGGTTGAAAGTAAAGACAATTAAAACCCTCGTGATGCCATTCATGCAGATCCCTGTTAGAACAAGTGATTATCACTACCTTTGCACGGTCGATTTACCACAGCATTAAACGTGTCTGGAGCGAACGGTACCCTCATACTCATGTGCAAATGTTTTTGGTAAACGAGCGAGTTAGTTTTGCCGGGTTCTTTTACTTTTTATAACCTTCGCCAGGCGGCGTACTGTTTGATTCATAGTGGAAGTAATATCAGCTTGTTGTGTTTGATGATATTGGACTGTTAAGTGTCAGTGAGTTTACGATTGACTTAGGCTTATGCATTGAGAAAACCATTCGTATTGCTATACTACCTTTATTGTAGCCTAAAATGATAGATTAGATCCAATGTAGATGGGGAGTTCAAGTTTATATTTAGTATTTTTGGGTAGTTGATGTTGAAGCAGACGCTTTCTTAATTTAGTGATAATACTTTGGGCCAACTGGTGGTTATGCTTTTTACTCTATATAAGGTTTTTTCTGAGTGTCTAGGCTGTCACCTCTTTAGACTGGTCAGGCTTACAAAGATTCGGTTCTGTAGGTAAGCTCAGGTTGAACTAAATTCTATCTTGGATAACCAGCTATCATCAGGCTCAGTAGGCTTGTGCACCTCTACCCATAAATCTTCCCACTATTTTGCTACATAGGCAGTTACATCTTCTGCTTTCATTTGTTAACTCGTCTGATTTCAGGGGGTTTGGCTATAGTTCTCTTGCAGAAACTATTTCTAGTTAATTCATTATACAAAGAGTACAGAGGGTTAGTTCTTGCTATTTTTATGCTTGGGTGGTATTATTTCTTTCCACGCCTGCAGTACTGCTGTCTCTCTAGCGCCAAGGTTGAAATTTCTATCACCTATCTTTATGTGGGTGAATGGTTTAGTGTATGGTTGTTTGTTATTAGTGTTAGTTATGTTGCATTAGTGTTGGCTCAGGTAGTCAAATTGTACTGAGATCTTCCGGGTGTAGGCCGGATGTACAGATCAGCTATACCTTGGTTATCCAGTACACCTTCAGTACACACTTACACGTATTACGACTTATACACTCTATATAGGTATTAGGGTGTTTGTTCAGCAAACTCACCAAGTATATATTTGAGGAGTGACGGGCGGTGTGTGCGTGCTTTGTAGCCTTGTTCAAATTCAGCGCTCTATCTTGTTACTGCTAAATCCTCGCGCTGTTCACCGGTTTCGCAAAGTTCCTCGTGGTTTTCTAGGATAGAAAATGTAGCCCATCTTTTCCGTCGCTGGCTACACCTTATTTAACTTGTTTTACGAAAAGAAATTGCTTGCGCTCACTTTATGACCTTTATCAGAAGTTACTGAAGATGGCAGTATATGGGCTGAGCAAATTCTTTCCCTTACGGTACTGTGTCTATAGCGCCGAGTTAGAATTTCTATCACCTATACTTTATGTGGGTGAATGGTTTAGTGTATGGTTGTTTGGTATTAGTGTTAGTTATGTTTGGGGCTAGTGTTGGCTCAAGGTAGTCAAATTGTACTGAGATCTTCCGGGTGTAGGTCGGATGCTTTGCGTTAAGCTATACCTTGATTTATCCAAGTGCACCTTCCGGTACACTTACCGTGTTACGACTTATCCCCTCTATATAGGTATTAGGGTGTTTAGTTAATATAGTCCTTAAGTATATTTGAGGGGAGTGACGGCCGGTGTGTGCGTGCTTTATGGCCTTGTTCAATTAAGCACTCTATTCTTAATTTACTGCTAAATCCTCCTTGGACTCTTAGGTTTCATGAGAGTTATCGTGGGTTTTCTAGGATAGAAAATGTAGCCCATCTTTTTCCGTCTCATAGGCTCCACCTTGACCTAACGTTTTTGCGAAAAGGGGTACTTGCGCTCACTTTAATGTAGCCCATCTTTTTCCGTCTCATAGGCTGGGCACCTGACCTAACGTTTTGCGAAAAGGGGTACTTGCGCTCACTTTGTGACCTTTATCAGGGTTTGCTGAAGATGGCGGTGTCAATTTCTAGAGGAGTTTCGTCCCATAATCGATAAACCCTCGATCCACCCTACCCTCTCTTGCTCAGCCTATATACCGCCATCTTCACCAAACCCTGATAAAGGTCACAAAGTGAGCGCAAGTACCCCTTTTCGCAAAAACGTTAGGTCAAGGTGTAGCCTATGAGACGGAAAAAGATGGGCTACATTTTCTATCCTAGAAAACCCACGATAACTCTCAAGAAACCTAAGAGTCCAAGGGGGATTTAGCAGTAAATTAAGAATAGAGTGCTTAATTGAACAAGGCCATAAAGCACGCACACACCGCCCGTCACTCCCCTCAAATATACTTAAGGACTATATTAACTAATCACCCTAATACCTATATAGAGGGGATAAGTCGTAACACGGTAAGTGTACCGGAAGGTGCACTTGGATAAATCAAGGTATAGCTTAACGCAAAGCATCCGGCCTACACCCGGAAGATCTCAGTACAATTTGACTACCTTGAGCCAACACTAGCCCCAAACATAACTAACACTAATACCAAACAACCATACACTAAGTGACCTTTATCAGGGTTTGCTGAAGATGGCGGTATATAGGCTGAGCAAGAGGGTAGGGTGGATCAGGGTTTATCGATTATGGGACAGGCTCCTCTAGGGGGTGAAGCACCGCCAAGTCCTTTGAGTTTCAAGCGGTTGCTTGTAGTATTCTGGCGAGTAGTTTTGTTGGTTTAACTACTGAGGTTTAGGGCCCATTTAAACATAGTGGGGTATCTAATCCCAGTTTGGGTCTTAGCTGTTGTGTATTCAAGAGGAGTTTTAAAGCCACTTTCGTAGTTTATTTTATGTTAGCTAGGATTTTACAGTTTTAGGTGGGGTTTAGCTTTAATTAGGTTAGGTCTAAAACACTCTCTACGCAGTCTCTATTGGCTCGGGTTAATCGTGGCCGCGGTGGCTGGCACGAAATTGACCAACCCTTGGTATGCTTATAGCTTAGTTAAACTTTCGTTTATTACTAAAGGTTTATCACTGCTGTTTCCCGTGGGGGTGTGGCTGAGCAAAGTGTTTTGAAGCTGCATGTGCGTACTTGATACTCACTCCTCTTAGTCATAGTGATTTGTAGGGCGTCTTCACTGGGGCGGGGGAGGCTTGCATGTGTAATCTTGCTAAAGGTCAATAGAAGGCCAGGACCAAACCTATTTGTCTATGGGATGTGTGAATCCATCTAGGCATTTTCAGTGTCTTGCTTTGGGGTGGGTTTAAGCTACGTAGACAGGAAGGTAGGTGTGAATGTAAGTGGCATCTTTGGGGTTGTGGGGGGAGGGTGGTTGGTAGGAGTAGAGTGAAGATTGGTTGAGGTTGGTAGTTAGAGCATGCATACCTAAAGATAAATAGCTTTGGCAGAACAGAACTTTGTTTCGGGGTTTGGCAAAGGGTGGTTGGTAGGAGTAAGTGAAGATTAGTTGAGGGTTGGTAGTTAGAAACGCCATACCTAAAGATGGAAATACAAGCTTTGGCCAGGGGAGCAGGACTTTGTTTTCGGGGAGTTTAGCAGGTGGTTAGTAGGAGTAGTGAAGATTAGTTGAGGGGTTATTAGTTGAAACATGTACCTAAAGATGAAGCTGACTTTGGCCAGGGAGCAGGACTTTGTTTTCGGGGTTTGGCAAAGGTGGTTATGTGAAGGTCAGGAGGTTTGGTTAAGGTTTTGAATTTTTTGTAGTGTTGTGGGTTGGTTGTTGTATGTCTTACAAGCATGGATTAAATAACACATTATTAGTGGTTATGCGAGGCTGGGACATTGAACATGAAGTGCGATTAATAATGGTATGGACTACAAAGGAATCAAAACCACGAGCGCATTCAGGTTTTGGAGATGTGGTAGAGTCAGCATGTTGCGATGGTATTTGCGTACAGACCAGAGATAAAGATACCAAATGCATGCGACTCCAGTGACTGGTTAATAGGGTATTAGACCCGTGATCCATCGAGATGTCTTATTTAAGAGGAACGTGTGGGCGGTTTTTAGTTGGCATGGCCCTGAGGTAGAACCAGATGTGGATACAGCTCATTCTTAGCTACCCCCACAGATCGTGGGCCCGGAGCGAGAGGTAACACTGCTTGTGCAGGATATTGATTTCACGGAGGATGGTGAATAAGGGAGTTCTAAGTGAGGGTCATCGTAGCGGTGGGAAGGAAGGTTTGTAGTAGGTATGTACTGCTATGTACGATAAGTAGGGTAATGTACATGTACGGGGACAGTTTTGTTGTCCGTGTTGGTGTGTGTGGGTGGAGTGGGTAGGTTATATGGTGTTTTGTGGTTAGGTTGTGTGTGAGATCTTCATTTGGTGGGTATGCTTTTTGAAGGTTGTAGGTGCAGGTATGACGGCATGTGTTATGTACAGTTAAGCAAGTATAGTACTATATATTATTCATGTTGTAGCAGTAATGCTGAATTACTAGCATATTTATGTAAAGGTGCTTGAGTTGTACTGTAGGGTTTGTACAATATAAAAGACAGAAGAAAGTAGTTTAGCTAGAATGCCAGTTTTGGGTGTTTGGTGGTGAAGTCAAAGTGCTTTCTTTCTGGGCTTTATCTAGAGGTTATGAGTCATCTCTGGTTACAAGACTAGTGTATTAGTTTATACTACAAGGGCAAGTTCATTTTAGTAGGTTATTTTCGATCAGGGAGGTTAGTGGTATCAGGATTAGAACTGTGGTAAATGCCATGAATGCTAGTTTGACCAATAAAAATGAAGGAGGTTGGCTTACTGGCTGACTTCCGATCAGGTGAGGTTAATAGGAGTTGTAATTAAAGGAATCAGAATAGGGTGGCTAAGTGGGCGGAATATTGTATGCTTTGTTATTTTGGAATTATGAAGTGTGGGGATAATAGATAGGATGAGGATTGAAAGGAAGAGTGTAGTACGCCCCTAGTTTGTCAAAGGAACAGATCTTGTGTAGAATTGCATTATGCAAATAGGAAGTATCACTCTGGTTTGATGTGTGGAGGTGTATTTAGTGGGTCGGCTGGGATGTAGTTGTCTGGGTCGTTTAGGAGGTTGGGTGAGGTAGTGTTAGTGTTGTTAGGATGAAGAGGAGGAGGACTAGGCCTAGGATATCCTTAATTGTGTAGTAGGGGTGGAAGGGGATTTTGTCTGAGTCTGATGATTCCGCAGAGGTTATTGATCCTGTTTCGTGTAGGAATAGCAGATGGACTATTGTAAGAGCAGTGATAATGAAAGGTAGAATAAAGTGCTGGGTGAAATCGTAGAAAGGTGGGGTTGCCATTGAGTACCCACCTCAGATTCATTGGACCGAGAGTCAGTCCCCGATGTAGATTGCTGATAATAGGTTTGTGATCACTGTTGCTCCTCAGAATGATGGCAGCCTCATGAAGTACGTAGCCTATAAAGGCTGTTGCTATAGTCAAGAATAGAAGTATAATGCCAGTGTTCCAGGTTTTAGGAGAAGAGATGAGCCATAGTAAAGACCTCGGCCTACATTATGTGAAAAGAGGCAGATGAAAAATATGGAAGCGCCGTTGTGGCGTGGAGGTAGCAGATAATGATTCAGCCGTGGTTTACATCTCAGGTGATGTGTGCGATTGAAGAGAAGGCAGAAGGAGGTGTCTGGTGAGTAATGTATTGCTAAGAATAGGCCTGTGATGATCTGTAGAATTAGGCAGAATGCGGGGAGTGAGCCGAAGTTTCATCATATGGAAATGTTGGATGGGGATGGCAGGTCAATGAGGGAGTGGTTAATTATTTTTATAATTGGGTTGGATTACGCATTGGGGTCATTAGTGCTTTTGTAGTTGAAGTACAACGGTGGTTTTTCATATCATTGGTTATGGCTGTAGTCCATGCAAGAGCAATGACATATATTTTATTTACGTTGAGTGTATTGTTGGTTATGGGATTTGTTGGATTTTCTTCTAAGCCCTCTCCTATTTATGGGGGCTAGCATTGATTGTTAGTGGTGTGGTTGGTTGTATGGTAGTTTTAGGTTTGGGGGGACTTATATAGGTTTGATGTTGTTTTTAATTTATTTGGAAATTATAATAATTGTTTTGGTTATACTACAGCAGTAGCTGATGAGAATACCCTGAGACATGGGGTTCAGGGTTTGGGGTTTTAGGGAGTCTTTTGGTGGGTTTAATAATAGAAGTAAGGTTAGTTCTATGGGTTTCAAGTTCTGATGGGGTAGTGGTAGTTAGTTTTAATAGTATGGGGAGTTAGGTGATTTTGAGGGGAGAGGGGTCAGGGTTAGTTCAGGGAGATTCTATTGGTGCTGGTGCTTTGTACGATTATGGGCGTTGGTTAGTAGTGGTTGCTGGTTGGACATTGTTTGTGGGTGTATATATTGTAATTGAGATCACTCGGGGTAATAGGTTATATTATTAGAAGTAGGGTTGAGGTGAGGGATGAGAAAGGAGAGAGTATAGCTTAATTATATGCCTTTTGGGTAGTGACAGTTTGCGACAGTGGTGTGTACATGCGATCTCATCTTGGGTATAGATTTTCTAGTCATATTGAATCTAGTAGAAGAAGGGCTAGGTTTTGGCTTATGAGTAGGTTTTGATATGGGACTATGCAGTGGTGTAGTGGGGAAAATACCTAGTATGTTGGAGAATTTAAATATTTGTGATGGGTTGTTTATTTTTAGTTTGTTGGTTATAGAGTCAGGTCTAGGAGTTATTAGAAGCCAAGGATAGTTGCATACAGGGCTGAGAAGTTTTAAGTAGTGGGGTATTGTTGGTTGGGAAGCGAAGTGGGGGAGATGTTGTTGGTGATAAGGAATCCAGTAATAATGCTACCCATTGTGAGGCGTTTAATTGGGTTAAGTAGGGTGAGGTTATTTTCGTTAATGTTTATTAGGGTTGAAAAGCGAGGTGGCCCTGTTATGGTGAGGAGAATGATTCGAGTACTATGGGCGCTTGTTAGAGAGGTGGCGATGAAGGTGATAGATAGAGCTCAGGCGTTGGTATATGACGTGTTTGTGGCTTCGATAATGAGATCTTTGGAGTAGAAGCCTGTGAGGAATAGTATTCCTGTGAGTGCTAGGTTGCCGATGAGTAGGGAAGTTGAGGTGAGGGGTATTGTTTGAATGAGCCTCCTATTTTTCGGATCCTCCTTGTTGTTCGTTATTTAGGTTATGAATGATGGATCCGGAGCATATGAAAAGTAGGGCCTTGAAGAAAACGTGAATACAGATATGCAGGAATACTAAATATGGTTGATTGATGCCGATGGTAACTATTATTAGGCCTGAATTGGCTTGAGGTGAAGGCTGATTTTTGATGTCGTTTTTGTGAGGAGCGCAGATGGCTCCCACTTACATAAATGCTAATTGGTGATGGCTCCACAGACATAGTGTGAGGCTTTAGTAGTGTATTTGCTTTCTATTAGAGGGTGGAAGCGAATGGTAAAAGTACACCCCGGCAACAACCATGGTACTAGAGTGTAGGGCTGAGACTGGGGTTGGGCCTTCTATGGCGGAGGGTAGTCAGGATGAAGGCCAAGTTGAGCTGATTTTCCTATTGCTGCTAGGAGAAGGCCTATTAGTGGGGAGAGTTTAGGGTTGGGGTTTAGAGTTAGTATTTGTTGTATGTCTCATGAGTTGTAGTGTAGGAGGAAATATGCTATAGCTAGAATGAGGCCAATATCGCCAATGCGATTGTACAGGATTGCTTGGATTTGCTATGTTAGCGTCCATTCAGAATATCATCCCAGCCGATTAATAAGAAAGAT